GGAAAGTTGTTGAATTCCCAAGAGGCCGAGGAGGAGAAGTTGGCGCGTAAATTCGCGAATGGAAACGTCACCCCAGAGAGATTAGCTCGAAAGAAAAACGATTATTTATACGATCTCCGTCTTCTAATTTAATTTATCTCCTCCCCAGTATCGTCCTCGATCCCACCATTGCTACGAAACGCACGACATATTCGATCATTTGCACGGCGAATTAACCGAGAGACAGAGATTACCATCGTAAAGGGGATCATATCGCGATCATCATCATCATCATCATCATATCGCATCGCGTTTAATCTGATTCGAGACCGACAACGTCGACGCGTGAACCAAGGCTTCGTTAATCCTCCATGCAAAATGATTCAAGTGTTTAAACCACGAGTACTCGATATGGAATGTATAATTCGCGCGAGAGAGAAGTACGTATGTTTCGAATTTCAATTTTCTTCGCTTTCATCCTCGACCATGATTCTCTGACCCACCCGTGAATCTTGACCCGTGAAAACCGGATGAACGATTTGGAGAAACATTGCTCTCGATTCGAATGCATTTTTTCGCGTTTGAGGAAGATATATTTAGCCCGATTCTCCTTTGCCTCGGATAAGATTTAACCACGCTAAATAAAGACACGGAGAATCGGAACGAATCGTTTCCAGAGGCTGGTTGTACATACATAGCCTGATTCTCAAAGTATACGCGAGATTCCGATTTAACTTTCGCGCACGATTGAGAATGGTGAAACCGAGGTAGATGTGGAAAAGGCGTAAATCCTGCACGATTTTATTTTTGGCACAGACGGATTTTCGCCAGGTCGGTTGGACGACGATCGAGGAATTAATAAAACGCGACAAAATGGAGGGAGATGCGCGAGTTATTACTGAACCGTTGATGAGGAACTCTCACGGAGTGTTTTTTCTCCTTTTTTCTTTTCTCTTCCATTTTTTTTTATCATCCTTTTTCCCCTCCTTTTTCCCTCCCTCTCCATCGTTGCCTCCATTTAGCGGGGAGGGGAGAAAACAATGGAGGCAATGGGAACGTGTATTGTCCCGTTTCATAGTACATTGCTTCGTACGTGTGGAAAAGTAAATTTGTCAGCGTCGGGACACGAATTACGTTTTATTCGCCGGGTGAAATTCGGCGACAAAGCGCGAGATTAAATCCATGGAAATGCCTATTGAAAACTATTACGTTATTATCTCGAATCGAAACGTTTTTCCTGCCGTAATTTTATCACACGATTTTACAATACGAAATCGCAACTCGAACAACAACGATTGACGAGCTTCACAAGCTTCTGCCACCAATTATCCTCTCGATTCTCCTCCATCACTATCATCCACTATCATCCCTCGACACACGGACCACCGATTGTCTCGTCAACGAAACTTTACCCATTAAGGATCCATCTTCGACCAGTTTTCCAACCGGTTTCGGCCTGGCTGATCGCGCGATCCCTCTCAACGCCGGAAGTCGTTTAATTTATCGCTCGAGACGATGGGCCAACAACGTCCTCGAGGAGCGTATCACCGGCGTCGAGAGGATATCCCGGAAACGATGTATCCCGTTATCGCGAATTCTCTTTGTGCTCGGATGGATCGGACCGGTGGCAGAGCGGGACAAGAGCAGCAAGGGCTGAGGGAGAAGGAAGTGAATAATAATGGTAGGATATTCGATGATGTAAGATGTCGAGCGAGCGCAAGGGAATTCACGTCTGAAGGATGTGTATCGAAGCGGCCGAAACTCCATTGTTCCAATCTTGTTTGCTTCCCTCGGAAATGTGTTGCCCTCGTGAACAACCGATCGATCTCTGATATTTTCCCGCCCCGGCCAATGGTAAAATGAATGAGTTAGCGGGGCACGTGGGACGGTTAATCGAGATGCCGCGATCAATTTTATTTTTTCGATGAATATTCGCGTGAAAATGGAACGGTTAAATGTCGTGCCTTTGTGCCAGGCGCAAACAGGCCGCGTATTAAATTTCGAAAATATCCACGTTTCGATATTCGATAATTTGAATATATCTTGGTGTGTCTTTTGCAGATTTCTCTGCCAGAAGAGAAGAGCGAAATCCGAAATATTTCATTCGGCAGAGAAGCTCGATAAAATTGGGGAACGAATCCCGTGAAAGGTTGGTTTTAGTATGAAGATTAGTCCGAGATTATTCGAGTGGACAATGGATCGAAGGAGTGGTAAAGTTGTTTGACAACGATGCTTCGCGGCATTTATCCCGGAACTGGCGGAGAGACGTTCTCCTTAGGAATGCTCAAACGAGAGATTCATTGTGTACACGACAATGGGCTACCACTCCTGCGCCATTATAGCGCATCCCTTCCTCGTGGCCGAACTTGCACGTTTATCAGCGACGTACGACACTGTTGGTCGACCGCTTTCGAAATCTGCACAAAAGAGTCGCGTTTTCTTTTTTTTTTTTTTTCTTTTTTAAATTTATTTAATCCTTCGCACGAAAATGTTTGATATTATATTTATAATCGCGGTTCGCGATTTTTTATTTGGGTCACACAAATCTGAAGAGCTATTTCTTTCAAAGAAACTCCGTTTGTTTGTGAAACTCTTGATTCGCACAATGGATCTATTTAAATTACTTATTATTCCGTATTATTACTTTATATATATAAAAAAAGAAGGAACAGAAAATAACACGCAAGTGTTACTTACTTACGTACGTACGTATTTCATTTTTTCGAATACTCCCTTTTACCGAGATTAAACGACCCTCCTAAAGAATCTCCCCCGAAAGAAATTATTTTTATTACGGGCAAAACCGAAAGAGAAGCCATCTCTCTCCCTCTCTCTTCACCACGAAATAAAACTAAACTAAATCTTCTCCCCGAGGAGAAATATTATCCAGGAATAAGTTCTAATTAGAAACACTGATTAAAGTAATGGGAAGAAGGATTGCACGAATACCAAAAGAGCGTAGCGGCGTAGGAAGGAGAGATGCCAGCAAGGATCATCCAGCAAATTGGTTGACGTTTTACGAGCGTATCTTCGACGGAATACCATTTCGCACAAGTAAGGAGAGTAAGGGTGGGTATCGAGGTCGAAGGAAAATCCGAGTGAAATGGCGTGGTTGGTTGCCTAATCCGCCGATACATCAGAGTTACGCCAGCCACCAATGGCGCTATTGCTTCAAATTCGTAGCCCAGCCATTGTCGCGTGGGTGGCGTGGAGCCCGGAGTGTGTACATCCGGAACGGTTGGCAGAGGGAGAGAGAGAGAGAGAGGGGTTACGAAGTTCTAAGCGGCTTAAGCTTGGTTAGATGTACGACATCTAGCCGAGGGAAAACATCGGGAGTTGCATCGAGGGCGTGAAATCTGATTCAATGGATTCGTTGGAAAGAAATTTGTAGAAAGAATTTTCTCCGCCGAATTTTTCAACGCGATTCTTTCTTTATTATTTCCAAACGTTCGACGTTGAAACTCGAACGAACGCATGGTTTTAGATTTAAGGACAACCAGTTGAATAATTTAATTTATATCGCGGAATATCTTAATTGCATCGTTTTCAGAAATTATAATCCAATTTATACCGCATCAGGGGATTATACCATGTACGATCTATATTGCGATATGTTAGATCGAAACTGTTTTCTCATAAATCCCGGCACGATTACGATTAACGTTATATTAGCGTTCCTGATATAATTTCAATCGATCGTATCGTGCGCAAAAGATGAATTGAAATATTCATTGAAATCTATTTATCAATTTATAAACAATTTAATTTTATCCGCATTGGATAAAACGACGAAATCAGAACTATCTAATTATCAATATTATTTGTGCAACTAATGATAAATAAATCTCGTTTCGAATGTTTAACGTTATCCCAATATACGGAATATATATATATATATCGAAACAGATACGCACCTTTATTTCACCTATATTCCAAGAAAACGCACACCACGAAGGAAATTTAATCTCCTCTTCGCTCAGATTACAAACCGTGGGTGCTTAAGAATAATCCCCCTCGATTCATTATCACCATTGGTTATTCGCAATGCACACGTGCATCCGCTCTACGGGAGATGAATACACCTTTTCACCAGGCCGAGAACAATATAAACCTGTGAACAGTGTCTGACTAGGCACGCGCGCGCCCATTCAAGAAGCGTCTACGTGTCCTTTTTTTAAACGCAACCTCTCCATCCGGTCTAATTAGAATTCATCGGTAAATCGATGCCTCTCGACAGAGTAGTGACCCGATTTTCTCCTCGGTTCCAAGTGATACAAAACTCGAGAGCCGAGATGGTGAATGGTACCGTCCCAGCTAAGCTTTCCCCAACGAAACCTCTCCTCTTCTGCTCCTCCTCTTCCAACGTAACACGAGCCGAACTTTCTCGTCTGAGCCCAATTATCCGCGCGCTTAACTCCAACCGGAGCTTTCGCGGCTGATAAACTCGCGGTGATAAACCGGCGATTTAAATAGCTACGCTGCTAACGTTGCGTGGGACGCGCCGCTTATCGTGGCCGGGATACACGATTCGATACACGATAACCCTCGTGGATCGTTCTTAATAAATCTGCCCGGGTTCCGACATCGCTACCCGCTATCGCTTTACGTGATATGAATGCGACTGGATTTCACTTGGAATCTTTCACTGGGATTGATTCATGGGGGATGGATCGACCTTTATGATTTATTAATTCCCGTCCCCATTCCGGGGTATTTTCAATTTTCCTTCGTAATCCTTAGGATCCGTTTCAGAAATAACGATGAGAGTTGTGATGCTTGTCTCGCACTTTGTGTTCACGGTCCAGAAAATAACTTGAAAATTTTGAATTCTTTTAAATTCTTCGAAAAAATTCATCTCGAGGTCATCTCAGATCAAATGTATGCTCTAATCGGTGATATCAGTGGATCTTAATTTATCGCGTGAATCCGATTGACGCGAATACAAAAAAAAAAAAAAAAAAATTAGAAACAAAGGGGAAGCTTTCGAGCGAAAATTCTAAGCAGCCTCTGTCTCCTCAAAGGTTATCCACCCCTCACGATGCATCAAACCCATTAAACCCAGGCGTTGGGCCTCGTAGAAGCCCTTCAGTCAACCTCGAAGCACGTCACTTCGAGGAAAACGAACCACTCTCGAGACGCTCGAGGGCGACCACGAGGAGGACCCGGACAGGAAGAGAGAGAGAGAGAGAGAGGAGGAGGAGGAGGAGAAGAAGACATC